AGGATTTTGTTTTTTGGTATGATTTCATTTTTGATTCGGGTTCTTCCTTCCAACACAAATTTATAGCTCGCGTCTCTGCCATGATGAATCCGTGTACTCGTCAATGCTGTACTGGCCAAGGCGGCGAGATACTGTACAACATTGTGTATGCTTCCAAAGCCAAGGAAAGATAGGCTTTGGAAATGCGCTAGTATTTGCTTTCAATAACACTGGGACATGCCATGTCCTTATGGAAGAGTATGTCATCGAAGGTCCTTTTGGTGAATTGGAAAGAGCTGTAGAAAATTGCCAGCACGAAGCTAAATGGAGTGCAATAAATGCACTTGATTTGGTGCAAATATTCAACAAATTCTTTTTTCTTTCTAAGGGAACGCACCTGACTTTGCATAACGCTTTCGATATCCAATACCCAGCCACATTCGTTGACTTTCGAAAGAAACGTTATCTGTCTAGTCTCTGTTGACCGTAGTTGTTCGAATATGTGTTTTTTATATTCTGCTGTGTTTGCTATTTTCGGCAATAAAGTTTTTGGTTAATTTTTATGAATGTTTCCGATCGGGTTTCTTGCCCTATATATATTTGATAAGTTCGAGACCGTATTTCTCGCTCATTATGACATGTACTCATCTCTCGAGTATGTTCCACATCGTATTTTTAGCAGGTTTCCGACGCTTAAAATGTATTCGGATGACGATTACATTCCTCAGTACTGTGTCATGGCCGGTCCATCTGGTTAGTTCTAGCTTTTCCTGCATTATTTCGTTGAATTCAATTTTTAGGCGACGAAAACGTTCCACTCACTCTGGGAAGCGGTCAGAAAAGTGGAAAGGACAGTCAACATCTGCATCTTGATGACCCTTATGTCTTTCGCGAGCATGGTACCAGGCCTAGTCTTACATGCGGTCATTTCTGGCTCAGAAGATTTTATAACGTTCTCTTTTCTCATGTGAGGATTTTAGATCTGGAACTTGACCCCAAGCATAAAAGTGAAAAAAACATTGATCGACGCAGAAGCGGGACCATGCTCGAGAGACGTCAAGAGATTGGCAGTGAGCAATCACGCGACACGTTGGCTGTACGCGAAACCAGTACTTCGCATGTGACATTCA